TCTAACTAAAAAATAACCTAACAGCAGGATTCACAAAGGAATGGCTTTAATGAGCACTGGGTATCTTTTCTGTGTCAGCTGATGTTGTCACACCTATCAGTGGCAGTTATCAGTAGTTATTATGCCAAACATTCTGGTTCAGTAAGGGTTAATTGCCCCTACCAGCAGGTCAGTCTGTGGTAATCAGTGTTGTAATTAGTTGACATCTAGTGGCCATAGTAATAAGTCCAGTGTGAAATGATTATTTATCCATGATGATTCCACAGCCTTAACTGTGTTGATTATTATTATTATTGAAAAAATGATGACAAAGGCTATGTAATGGTAAGTACTTATTTTAATCCAAACCACTATCAAGTAGTTTTTGTGTGTAACACTGGTATTGTAACTATGACAACAAAGGTTTGTGGCTATATAACAACCTATTGAGTGTACTAATAGAGTGAGTAGGGCTCAAATGAGCCATGTGGTCGCATTAACAAGTCAACAGGCCAATGAATGGTGTGATGAAGTTCAGACTGTGTGGTGTGATGGAGCAAGTGTGGATGTGGTGAAGCTTTTTCTTAATTTTCCTAATTTAGTAACATGGCACTGTATGAATCACTGAGTCAGCACTGTCAGATTGCATTAATATGGTCTGTCCTTGAATCAGAATCTGCTTTATTGGCCAGGAGGAATTTGACTCTGGTACATCGGCTCTCACTGTGCATGTACATATCCCCATGCAAAAGGCAAGTAAACAGTAAACCAACATAAGGCTGTGTAATATAACAAAATAAGCAGTATTAACAAGCAACAAACAGTGCAAACAATGCAAAATAAGCAGTATAAACAGGCAGTAAACAATGCAGACAGACAAAGGAATGCTCATTGAAATGAGATAAATAGGAATAAAAATAGAGTACTTAAAAATACAGACTTGTATGGATCTGTATAATCTGTACAGTGTATATTTACAGGTATTGCACTGAGGGTTATTGTCCAGTCATACTGTGTTATGACTACGGGTCAGTACACCCCCACACTTCGTCCGCCAACCCTGGGTCCATCAACAACTCCACCCAGACAGGTGCTAGAGTGCACTCCCGGCGGCGAGGCACACCTGCTCTCAATCAGCGGCGCATTACTTAGGGTGAGCGTTGATGTGTTCTCGTCGCCAGATGATCTCTCGATGTCCCGCAAAGATTCAGTAAGCTTCCGATCTGACTAACCTGTGTTTCCTTTTCTGCCTTGGTGATCCCGGTATTGTTTTGTGCGTTTTTCTGAACGGAACTATTTGCTTTCTGCCAGCGGAAATCCCCTTGAGTCTTTTGTCCGATGAACTATTGTTTCTGGGGAATTGATTCTTGTCTGCTTTACTGAATCCTGCTGTCTCCTAGCCAGTTTGAGTTTTCACTGGTTGTTTTTAGTTTTCTCTGAACCGGTGCATATGCTGCGATCTCTTGGCAATTTTGAGCTTTGTTTAGGATTATCCTGTGAGACTGTACGCACCATCCACAGCGACTAGGCTAGGCTACCCAGGTGCACCTCCCACACTGACGTAGAGCTGGGCTGCAGCCAAACCTTCTGTGAACCACGACTTCCACTGCCAGCGGATTCACGCACCGGTCAGCAGGCACCTCACCACCTCCTGCCTCCCTGCACAGCTATCATTCCTCATACCCAGGTTCTCGTCATTATTTCCCATATAAAAGACTCACTGCTGATCTGCTCAGTCTTCTCACCCTCCTCCTCTGCTTTCTATTCAGTAGTTGCATCTACTTGCCGTGTACCCCGGGTTGCTCATCTAGCGGTCCAGTCAACACAGCTCCCAGTTGCCCATGACCAGCTGAAATGTCCACACTACATCTTATAGTTTCTGTTACCACTACTGATTAAAAATTGTTTTGGTCTTGAGTCTGTGTCCAAGTCCTGCATTTACTGGGTCCACAGTTATTATTCCTGACAGCTAGCCATGTCATACTGTCGTGGGTCAAGTGTTCATCTGAGTGACAGCCCAGGGGAAGAAACTGTCCTTGTGCCTGGTTGTCTTGGCGCACAGTGACCTGTAATGCTGTCCAGAAGGGAGGGGTTTGAACAGATTTTGTCCTGGGTGTGAGGGGTCTGCAGTGATCCCCTCCACCCTCCTTTTAACCCTTGAGGTGTACAGGTCCTCCATGGTGGGCAGGCTCACACCAATGACCTTTTCATTCAGACCAAAAACCAGTGATAACTGCTGGAAGCTGCACTTGAGGTGGGAACTCATGCATCGTAAATGTATGGCAAAACACTGGATGTCTGTTGGATAGCCGGTAGTTTCAACTCAGTTGAAGCAGTTTGGACATGACTTAATGCATTTAACATTTTTATAATGCACCTGGATGGCATTCAAAGTGACATACAAGGGCTTGTTAGAGAGGGTGTACAGTCCAGAATTTATCAGCGATACTGGCCTAATGTATGACATCCATGAGCTTTCTAACTTGTCACAGAAACTCCAGTGGCATTCTACCACACTTATAAAGGCAGAGCATCTTGTGAACGTAAAGTGAGAAGTGGTCATTTTAAAACTGTTCCTCTGTCACATACAGTAAGTCATGAATGGTAAGAATGAATGCACTGCAAAGCCTGATAGATGATAACGAAAGATGTCAAGTCTGTCCAAGCATCTGTTATGGAGAGATCCAGGTATGAAGCACAATATTTGATGCACAGATACTGGTGTTAGAAAAATGAATGGTTAATTAAGAACACCTCTGAATATAATGTAGTCCAGTACAACACTACATTTGACCATGACCTTAATAATAAACATAATTGAATTTATACATTTAGGACAATTGCTCCAAAACCTGAAACATTGTTACTCTCCATCTTAATGTCCTGTGCCACTAATCTGACTGTAGCTGGAAAAAAACACTGTGGAAACAGGCCTTATGTGTTATGATAGTCACTGGTCTGTGGTGCCTCGGGTTGTAACTTTAATTTCTCCACCTAAACAGAGCATGAGCTGGGTAAAGTTTCCTCCTGAAGTATATTATCAATTCTTCCTGAAGTCCATTGTCATCTCCACTGTTTTGAGCATGTTCAGCTCCAGGTTGTTGCAGCTACACGACAGGACCAGCTGCTCAACCTCCCATCAGTAGGCTGACTCATTGCTGTCTCAGATGAGACCAATGACCATTGTGTCATCAGCAAACTTCAGGAGCTTGACAGAAGGGTCCTTCGAGGTGCAGTCGAGGTGTAGAGTGAAAACAGCAGAGGGGAGAGCACACATCCCTGAGGGGCACCTGTGCTTATTGTCCAGGTGCTGGATGTGGTTTCCCCCAGCCTCACCTGCTGCTTCCTGTCTGTCAGAAAGCTAGTAATCCACTGACTGGTGGGGGCAGGTACAGTGAGTACAGTAAAAAGGTTTGCAATTGATAACAAGAGTCTCTAGGTCTGCGTTACATGTCCTCTGTAGCACTGTGACATCTGTGCACCAACCTTCATTTATGTAGAAGCAGATTCCACCTACTCTAGTTTTGTGGACAGCTCCTTTACGAGATCCGCTCTGAACACCTGGAAGCCCGGTACTTGAATCACGCTGTTTGCGATCAGGTTGCTCAGCCAGGTCTCCATGAAACACAAAGCAGCAGTACATGCAAAGTCAGAGTCAGTCCTGTTGACGAGAAGAATTTCATCCATCTTGTTGACCAGGGGAATAGACAGGAGTGGGGTCTGTGTTCCCTTCTGTTGTACCCGCACCAAGGCCTTTCCACGGCGGCGTTTTTTCCAGGTCCCGTATATTGCCGCTGTGCCTCCGATCAGAATGTCCATACAGCATTCTTCATTCACAAAAATCAGAGGAAGGTAGCTCAGTGTGATTTGTCTGAAATTTAACAGTTCTTCTCTGGTAAAAGTAATCCAGGATGAGTTGCAAAAGACCAAGAAAACAAAGAAAAACA